TATTGATGTATCATTTCTATTCAAATTAAATAAAAGGTTCGCTTGATGTATCATTTGTAACCGAACCACATTTACTTGATACTTTATTTTCTTCGCAAGAAAGATATTCGAAAAATATTCTCTGATCTAGCGAGCTAAATTTGGGTAAACTCTTTGATCTTTTTGCCAGAATAATAACAATTCAAGCATTATCTCTGCAATTTTGCGTTTTTCCGGTAGTGATCGAAATGGGAATAAAATCTAAGTGCTCGTATTTGTTGAATTCTTAAACACCGATTAACGTCGATGGACCAAAAGTTGGTGAAGTCACTACTAATTTTGTTTCTCTCGAATCTATTCTCAAAACTAATTTTGTATGACAGTATCATTGTAAGAAAATTATGTCATTTTTAGAAATATGGATTTGAGAAAAATCTTTACGTTTAAAAAACTAAATTCACAGGTGAAAACTGATTTGATTTTTAAACAACTAATCCAGCAATATTTTCACTCCTTTATGATTCTTAGTTTCAAAAAAGAACTTTTTGTCATACATAAACGTGTAAAAGGTTTGGATTGGATCAGATCGCCTGTAAATTTGAAAAACTTGAACGGGATCGGATCCGTCCATCTGCCGATGACGATCATAGTATTGCTAGCAGTTGAACATTTTGGCAGACTTTTCGAGCTAACTGTCTCGAGTGTTAGTAGAAAGGTCATTGTAGGGAATATCCACCCTAATTAATTGGTCTAATATCACCGAAAAAGAAATAAACTTGGCTTTAAGTTGCTGAAACGTGCGTTTTGGTATTCAGCACACTCAATAACCCTGAAGGTTTCTATTTTTGGCGAGGAGTACTTCCAAAAGTTTAGGAAAACTAATCTTATTTTTCCATGTAAATCTTTTTGTGCCATTTTGTTTCAAAAATAGTTTTAAACTTTCGGAAGTATTTCACACCAAAAATAGAAAATCTTCTGGGTTATTGAGTGTGCTGAATACGAAAAAACACTTTTCAGTAACTCGAAACCAATGTTATTTTTTTTCTTCGAGTGATATGTGTTTTGGATTTGTTCATTCTTGTCATTTTGAGGCATTTTCTTCGTCTGGTTTTCATCGTGAAATTGAATGAGTATTATTCTAATTTATCCCTCGATAAACACAGAAGGCAAAATTACTTGAAATTTAAATTATAATCTGATAGATAGGTTTCGACTACTAGTGCCGTCTAGAGACACTTCCAGACAGTACAACTGAAAACCTGTTAACCCATGTGAAATGGTAAAGACAGCGCTATCAAAGGTGTATAATTTTGCTACGTCTGTCCATTTTCAGTGTTTCAAAAAACACGTATACGAGTATCACTGCTTTCTAAGAGAGTCTTTACTTGATCCCTCTCTGATTAACCCTGCTACTTGTGTGCAGTGTAGCACTTTTCTTTTTAAGGAAAAATGTGTGTAATCCTCTTGTTTATTACATTGCTTGAATAGTTGTAACTATCTCAAATTTGCATGTTCTGATAAGAGAGAAAAACTATTATTATGCTTACTTTATTTAAACGTAAAAGGAAATTCCATCAATTTTCAACAAAAAAGAAGTAAAAAATTCTAAGTCAATTCAGCAAGATGTGTGAACTCATTTATTCATCATCTTCGAAGTAGAGCTCATGATTAAATCCACGTTTTTCAGGTTCTGTGTCAGTTGTTGATGTTGAGACAGGTCTGTCTGTTGTTCTTATTTCCGGTTCTTCGGTTTCTTCCGTTGGTTCATCTGTGTCCGGTTCATCACTGACGGTTGTAGATGCACGTGTGGTTTCAGACCATTCACCACCATCAGTTGTTCGTGTGGTGCTCTCAACAGTTGTATTGTTGTTATATCGACCTCTGAGTTTGAATACTAGGGCTGGTGAGACTATAACGGTGTCATCGTTCACTTTGACCGCTGTGAACGCACGTGTTGGTCGGCCTAGATGACAACTTTTCCCAACTAGAAGATCGTCAATAAAAATTATGTTATGCACTTACCCAGTTTTGTAGCTAAACGTTTTGGAATACGAATAGATTGTGGAAGTTGAAATTGAACATGTGTTGCCCAGTTTCCACCATTGTGCGGTTTACCATGACGACGATTCGACTCGATTAACCATAACGGCACATCCTTGTTAGGTCTTGAAATCTTGAATGGTTTCTCTTTTTGATGAGTACTATCCGTTTCGTCGTCAATTAAAATTTTGTAACCCTGAATACTGCCGAACAGGCACAAGGCAGTACATAAAAGAATAAAATATTGAAGATGCATTGCTTCCAAATTTACAGTTGAGTAGAATAGTAACGAGTTTTATAACTTTTTTAACAGCAATTGATAATTGCTTATATACAATTTGTCTCAATAGGAAAGCTTAAGTAACACCCTCAAACAAAAATTTTAAGCACTTTATTATACTACGTATTTATTAAGTTTTAAAATCTTAATATACATCCTCCGCACATTTGTTATAAAGGATTTTTGGCACAAAAACATCTAAATACGATAACAAATAGTGTAGATTTAATGGCGCAGTTTCTTTTCAAGGACGTTCAGGACATAGTCAAGCGGATTAGAATAAGGTGTAGTTCGGAACGAAAAGAGCATATTATTTCAGTCAACTCTAGTTCACATTTGGAACTTGAAGAAAAGACAAATTCATGTACGTGTCCATCTGCTCTGAATGTTAAAGTTGATTCTACCTGCTGTTTTCTTACATTTATCAGCTTTCAAATGTTAAAGTCGAAAATAATGTTTAAGCAAATTACATCGACGAAATGAAGGTTGAAAAACAATTGCAAATTAAAAATATAGCCCATACTTGCGTTATGAACAATGATTATCAGCTGTTTCTTCATTAGTCTAACTGCGAAATACCGAGTTACGTTGAACGAAAAAATGTTTGGGCACCATCAATAATAAAATTAATTTATTTGGAAAGAAATCTCATTGCCTGTCTTATGTTTGAATGTGAAAGGGCAAAAAATCTAATTTAAACGTAAGACCTTAAAGAAAATTATTTTATTTCTATGTTAATTAAATTTAAATTTAAACCTAACATCATTACATAGACTTGGTGTCTCGAGGATCCATACTACTTCCAAAGCAGCAAAAATGACGACTTTTAGCAAAAACTGCAGATATCTATGTAGCATGCAAACTGAGATAGTTTTAATTGACTATGTGTTTGTTCAGTATGTCGGGATACACTATGGTAGAGTAAAATATTCTGTTTGCAAATGAAATATAAACCACTAGTAGAATTCAGAATTTCATTGTACAACTATCCTGTTTTCATCATTTTATACTCTCAATCTTGTCTAAATTGTGACACTTTTCCTGCCTCTCCTCCGAATCAGCCCATGGAGAAACGTCAGTATGTAAAACGGCGTATACACTCGTGAATATCGTGAAATGAACTGTGATCGTACGTGAACATCGTAAAATGGTGTGTGGGCAAGCGTAAAAATATATTCCATTGTGACAATGCATGAACTGCTCACGGAAATTATTCGCATGTGGTAACTAGTAAAAGTTCACACGTGATCACGCATGTGATGTTGCAACTGCATGATCGCAGCGTCGTGAAACTTGGACAAAATTTCTCAACGGGAGGAATAGCAATTGAAAATTTAAAAAATTTGAGAAGATAAAATTTGTGATGGATGCATTTTACAGAAAAGGGTTTCTGAAGATCATGATATTTTGTATTTTCTACTGAACTAAAACTGTTAAAAACTTTTTCAAGGGTTTCGCCATTTATAGAAGAAAAAAGTTTATTCAAAAAGAAATGTCTACTAGGTTATTACGATATATCATTAAGAAGATTTGAATTTTTTAACTTATTTTTCATATTTCATTTTTTGCACCCATTTGATGTTGACATCTGCTGTTTTTCTGCAAGCAAATACAACAATTCAGATCTTTTAACGAAACTTTGCGATGTTTAGAAAACCTTTTGTGTATAATTTACCCATCACACAAACTTATCAAATTTGTAGATTTTGAATTACCATTCCACTTTAAAAAAGAAATTTTAAGCACTGATTCGGAGGAGCGGCAGGAGAAGTGTCACAGTTTAGACAAGAATGACTACAAAATGATGAAAACAGGGTAGTTTTGCTGAGAAAGTAAAGTAAGGCCCTCTGGGCCAGAAATATAGATTTTTTCATAAAAGGTCCATAGTGAGTTAAACACGTGACTAAAGAGCCCAGGGTATCTACTTTTAGAGTCCATACTATTTGTGCCCAATATCAAAGGTTTCTGGGAGATTTTGAAAAATTCTTCTATACGCCCTCGAAACCTCATTTTCTGAAATTCTGGTATGTCAATAAAATGTCGTAGTCAAAATGGATTCTAGTGACTCCAGTTCGTAGAGTAAACGTTTGTGGTTAAAATGAGACGTCTCACAATACAGAGCGATGCGCTGAACAAAAATTATGACAACTTTATTAAGATCCCTAAAACGTGTGTCGTACACTAGCGCCACCCAGATCAAAGAATCGTATAATAAGATCATATAGGATCTTGTCAGATTCTGTCACTCCTAAAACAGGATCTTAACTGATCTTATATGATCCTATGAAATCATCTAGGATCTTACAGAAAACACGTCTGTCATCTGAAAGCAAGAAATGGCGCAGGATCCTATGAGTTCCTCAAGTAGGAACTTATAAAATCATATAAGATCCTATATAATCTTATTACAAGATTTAATAGGATTTTTCATGATCAGCTAGGATATAACATCCTGCTAACGAGGGAAACTCTCGAGATGTCCTCTTCCAATTCCAATGTTTTATACATGGATAGACCATGGTGAGGTAGTAAGAAGCCTAAAAGGATTTATCCCCATGGCTCTTGAAGACTCGGTTTTCTGGAGAATCAGTTTTTCAGAAACTCTAAAAATTAACCAAAGCCCTTTCTTAACAAGCCATGCTTGTAGCCCGCAAATTTCTGATTAAAATGAGACACCTCACAGCTCAACATGATCTTTCTTTACAAAGTTATACAAATTGCAAGAAAAGTTCTAAATGTTCACTGTCAGCTCAAAGCTACAGAAATAAGAAGAAATTAATTTAGAGTTTTTCTTGTAATTCTATAACTTTGCAAAGAAAGGTCGGGTAAAACTGGAGGGTTTCTCATTTTAATCAGAAATTTGTGGGATACAATCATGTCTCGTTAACTCTTTACTCCCTGGTTCTAATCCATCAGAGTTGATGTGGAGTCGACCATCTTGAAAAGTGAATTTTTTTCAAAATGATACATCATTTAGCATGAGAAAAATCGAATGCGTTCGAAATCGAAATCGGATTGAAATAAATTCTGTCATTCTTAGAATCGCATCGGAGTTAGCAGTATTGTTTTTTGGTATCAGAATCAGAATCAGCGATTTCGATACCGATTTCAATCCAAAATCGCCCATTTCTATTCTTATGGTCTGGCCAAACAGGAAGGCCGTAACAAAACTGCAGGTTTTTATCTTTTATCGACCAAAGTTATTCGAAAAACGGCCATGCGGCATTTTTTGGATGATTATTAATTCTAATAAAAACTCCTAGCATAAATATATTGCTAATTTTATATCGTTTGACGGATTAGCTGCAGAAAACCTGTTTTTCATGTCACTCAACCCGAATGGGTCAGAAATGCTCCAAGTTGTCCTGAAGAATGCTGCTTCCTTCTCTCTTATCAAGAAATTTTTTAATGCTGTTCTGCAAACAGGTGACGTCTGTAGCAACATATATCAACCACTTAACTCTCGGTTACTGTCGTGGGGTCCACGTGGATCCACTTTACAGTTTTTTGTTGCGTACTACACAACCATTTACTGTTTCGAATCATTTGTTTCTTGTAATCTCTAGCCTTTGGACGGTGTATAATATCCTCATGAAAAACCACATATAGATCTAACAGAAAAAGAATACAGATATGGGTCCACGTGGACACCAGGACACTAATGGTGTTACAGATATGATTTTTCGCTTTATTATAACTGCCATCTGCTGCGTATCGATTTATTTTTAAAATAAATAAGTTATAATTCGTTTGCACATTCGTCTCTCGTATTAATAACTCATATTTTCTCTATAGAGTGATAAAGTTTTGCTATTTCTTGATCAAAACCAAATTTCTGTATTAAATTGTTTTTGGTGATTTATTTAAATCATAATCAACGTCGTACTCCAGAAACCCGTTTGATGCCAAAGGTCTAGCTTGCTCTTTTTGTCTCTTGGTTATCAAGTTCCTTCGAGAATCGTCAAAGATCTTAATGTGAACACCCATTCAAATCGAACTAAACGAAAACGCCATTTGTATCAAGCAAAACCTGGACGAAAAGTTCGACAAATCTGCGATAATTGCGGACAAAATGTTTGCCTTTCACACTCTAGCAGCATCACAATGGTAACCTATCGGACATGTGAAAAAAAGAATTAGACAAGATAATTATAATTATAAGTTTCTCAAAAATTGTCAAATAACAACAACTTGATCAATATGATAGAGACTCTTCAGTTTTAAAGTTTGTTGATCATGCGAAAAAGAAAAAGATAAAAATAAATATCATGAAAACTAATCTGTCTTCTCTTTATTTACAGATAATTGTATGTGCTAACAATTACTGCGCTGATGTATGATTCTTTTACTTGCATTTCTGTTCTGTTATGAAACTAGTATAAGTCAATCCCTTTCTTATAAACATATGGGTTAAACGAAAGAATAATCAATTTGCACAAATAAAAAAATAAAGAAGATCAGATTTTTTCATTTTTTGAAAACATACAGTTTTCAGACTCAATTATCGTAGGCAAGGAATGATTGAGGAAAAAATTAATTTTTACGAATTTATAGTCTATTCGGTCCTCTACATAAATAATCGATAGCCTTCTTGATCCGATGTTTTGTTACTTTATGAGATAGATTCTACGAATGGGCCGAAAATGACCCAGCCTAGGTAAAGGGTTAAGAAAGGTTTAGTTATTTTTTAGCTTCTGAAAAACTGGTTTTCAAGAAAACCAGGTCTTCAGGAGCTATGGGAAAAATCCTTTTAGGCGTCTTACTACCTTACCATGGTCTATCGATCCATGTATAAATCACTGGAATCGGAAAGGGGCATCTCGAGAGGTTCCCTCGTAAGTTTATTATTTTTATTTGTTTAATTATTTTCCTATTCCAGCTACCCAGAATCAGACGATTCTGAGCTGGGATAAGCCGAAGACTTCCCAGTACTGACTCATACGTCGTCGAACAGTATAGCGAGTTTCGATGACTCGCAGTGTTCATTGCGAAAATTTAAGCCTAAAAGACTTTTAAATTTTCTTCAGTAGAGTTGTATTTATATTAGAGTCACTCCGCAACACGTCGTGTGATTGTGTTCTCATCTGGAAATAGAAAAGAAACAGAACGAAAAAGTAGGCATCCTACAGAATCTTACCGCGGGATTTTGTAAGAAATGCTTAAAATTCCTGTTTATAGAAATCCTATAGGATTTTTGCTACTGTCCTATATCAAGAATCCTATAGAATTCCTGCTGTAAGATTTGATAGGATCCTACAATAGGAATTCTGTGAAATTCTATTATTGGTAGGATCCTATAGGATCATGTAGGAACCTAGTAGGACTGCTTGATCTGCGCATTATATCTCAAACGCAACTCTTTCCTACGGGATAAACGCTGTCGGAAAGATTTCTCCGTCAAATTAAGTGCTAGGGAGCTCTGATCTTAAATTGAAGCTAAGACATATGCGAACAACGTAAAAGAGCTCGAGTTTTGATATAGGCCGTTATTCTTTTATATTGTTGAAAGTTATACACCAGTTTTTCGATTTTTTTCGAACTTTTGAGGTGAAGTCCTTAGAAAAATAAAGCAAAGAGAAAATTCAAAAATCCAAAAATCTTTTACGTAACTTAAATTAAAAGTCCTGCATATTATCAGAGATTTATACCTCATTTACAAACAGAATAATTTACTCTACCACAGTGTGTTCCGACATACTAAGCAAGCACATAGTCAATTAAAACTATCTCAGTTTGCATGCTACATGGATATCTGCAGTTTTTGCTAAAATTCGTCATTTTTGCTACTCTGAAAGTAGTATGGATCCTTGAGGCATCAGGTCGAAGTATCTCTAAAAAATTCTTTTAATATAGAAATATTTGAACAAATAACAGGTACTCGTGTTACAGACACAGATATGAAAAGTTTTCTAAATACCGGCGCGGATCACCACTGCTCCGCGTTTGTACGGATATGTTTGTGTGTCTAAAAAAGCCTCTACTTGCAGGACTCTTATTTATAGTTCGAGCTTGCGCTTTCAAGCAAGTACACTCCTCATAAAACGTTTTGAATTTCACCTTGCTTCGTTGAATAGAGATAGAAGTAATATTATCTACAAGGACAAGAGAAAGCAAAAATGTGTACATTCATTACTTACGATAGTGTGAGTTACTATATTTCATATACACACATTATATCTTATACTACAGTAGTAGAACATAAATTATGGCATCAACTGTTACAGATACAAAGATGTTTCAGATAGCTAAAAGAGAAACAAAACCTTATCGTTTATTTTTTAAAAAATTTAAAAATGATTGGTCAATGGTATTTGCTGCTATGTTAGCATTTAATTTATTAATTGCTCTTTTACCTATAGCTGTGACATTATTTGGTATATTGGGTTTAGTCATAGGAAATAATACAAATTTACAGGAGAAAATAAAAGAGAAAATAATTAATTCATTTCCAAATGTGACTAAAGAAGGTCTTAGACAAATAATTGATTTGGCATTTAATCAATTGTATCGAGATGCTGGTATAATATTAGGTCTTGGTATTCTATTTGCCATATTTGGTAGTTCTAGATTATTTATCGCTATTGATAGAAGTATGACCATTATTTATCGATTAGAAGAACGAAAAACTTTAAAACAAAATTTACTCGCTTTGGGCATGCTATTTTTATTTATTCTTTTAATACTATTAATGATAGGTGCCTCATCAGCTCCATCTTTTCTGTTGAATATTATTCCTAATGCAGGCGGTCGTTTTTTATCGTATATTGTTGGATTACTAACAGGTTTAGTCGTATCATTTATTCTATTTGAAGTTATATATTTCATCGTTCCAAATAAAAAAATGACATTTAAAGAAACATGGTGTGGATCTCTACTGGCAGCTATTGCATTACAAATATTTATGATTCTATTTCCTCTCTATGTACGAAAATTTATGACAAATTATGCTGGACAAATTGGTTTTGCCATTATTTTATTATTATTTTTCTATTATTTTGCTGTAATACTTATTTTAGGTGCTCAAATTAATTCTTTCTTTTTTGAAAAATTTCGAGCATTTCCAGATGGTCTTGGAACATTTGTGAGTAAATTATCAGAAGTATATACAAGTGGAGAAGCCGGTCATGCTTTAAATCGACGTGCCATAGATGATCCATATGTTTGAACAATTAAATTATTTTTAAATTTTCATTTAGTATAGATTTTTTATTTAATTTTACATTCTAGCCCACATAATCTTCTCCAGTTTTTGTACATATTTAAAAACAGTCATGTTATAATTACATTTTATATGATATATTTGGACCATTGTGTATAGTGTCATACCCAAACAGACAAACTTTTTCGACAACGCGTTTAAGCACACAAAAAAAGACAAAAAATCTAGAAAAAGTGGGTGTGTTTGGATAACAATCGGGGTTCCCGACTGTGAGCGAAAACTGCCCATTTTTCGCCCTTCTTGTGCGTTTAAACGCGTTTTCAGCCAAAAACGTGTGTAAATGCATAAAAAAAGTGGTCGTTTTTTTCATACTCGAGATTATGATCCCGTCACTGGTAACGACTATGAGAAAAACGACCACTTTTTCTCTTTTTTTTATGCATTTACACGCGTTTTTGGCTGGAAACGCGTTTAAACGCACCAGAAGGGCGAAAAATGGGCATTTTTCGCTCACAGTCGGGAACCCCGATTGTCATCCAAACACACCCACTTTTCTAGATTTTTTGTCTTTTGTTGTGCGCTTAAACGCATTTTCGAAAAAGTTTGTCTGCTTGGGTAAAGGGCAGGAACTGATTTTTTTTATATGAGCTAAACAATTATATTCATTATTATTATTATTATTATTAATCAACTCTCAATATCGGTTGATATATGTGAAATTGTAGACAAGAATAGAACATGTTCTCGAAAGAGGATTAATAAAAAATAATTTTTCTGCTGTCCAAATGTTGAATGAATGTAGATACACATTTTATTTCTTTGACATATTAATTTTAATTATAGAAAATATTTCACTATGAGAAATATTCAATTAGAAACAGTTAGAATGTTCATCATTTTCTCGCTTCATTTTCACTTTTAAAATCGATCGATCAGTACTTTTCTTAGTGTAATATTTTTTAAACATGTTTCTCTTCTAAATGCATGTGTTTTTTTTCTCTTTTTCATGCACACTACATAGAAATAGAAGAAAAAAATACTCTTTTTTTTTCATGACATTGTTTTCCTACATGTGCAGATAAAATAAATACATGAGAAATAAATCAGACATCAAGGGCTTTATTTAAAGGTGTAATAATATGGCTTTTTTCCCTTGTATACCTACTAAATGCATTAAAGTGGACATTCTGTATAGAGATATTTAGTCAAATAGAGTCAGTCCATTTTAACTTTTTTCAGTTTTTATCAGAAGATCATTAAGTTGGACACTTTTTCCAGAATAATAATCTTTCATATCTATTGGAACAATGAAAAGACAATTCACGATGAAAAATTGATAATAAGAGTGAAACGTAATTTCCTTTTTTTTTTCGAAATCAGAACCGAAGTAGAAGAGAAAAAAAATTATTCTCCACTCTAAAAAACGTTCTCTAAAAATTCAAGGTTTTTCGAGTAACATCCATTTTTCTCTACTAAAGAAACATTTTTTCTCAAGACACATAACATTTTCCGAATTAGCGCTTAAAAACTGCAGCAAATAATGCAGTTTTCAAAATATTTTGCGAAGTATTTTTTCCTGGTAAAAAATTTCATTTGATGTCTCTCTCATGCAATCCTTATCAAAAAATCTGAAAACTAAAAGTTTTCAGATGCGAGAATACTATTTTCAGGTATATACTATTGGTCATCATCTAGAGTTTACTTGATTGTCTAAAAAAGAAGATTGATCAAGAAATGTTATTTGATTTTTCTACAAATTTATCGTCTTCGGAAAAATGGAATACTTCTCCCCTCACATAACAGACCACCGTGGGTTATTAAACCAGTTTTGAAGTTATAAACCTACAACTTATGGACACAGTGCAACTTTTTAAACTCTATCGAATAGCCGATTTAGATTTTTTGTAAGTATAGTGTCTCCCTAGGCAGGATTTTAGGCCAATATTAACTTTGTGGCCCTGTCCCGGTCAGGTTTCGCACATACTTTTAAACAAAAAACTGGATTTCTATATATCTTGGAACGAGCTAGAAAAACTAGCTCAGTGCTACCCGGAAGTTTTAGACCAGTCCGTATTTTTATCAAAGATTGAAAACCCAAGATTTTCACTCAAAATTATATAAAAATTCCGAAACACATTTTTGAGCTCACTTTTTAACGCTGATTTCGAAAATGGCATTATTTTTGTCGAAAAGTTGAATTTCGATATAGGAAACGCCAAAATATAAGCCCCATTTCATTGTTTTTTTCACTGGTTTCGAAAAAATTGAATTTTTCGGCAAAGAAACAAAATATTTCAAACAGATTACTTCACTTTTTTCCCACAAGTACAGCAATCAGATTCAAGTGAAAGAAAGAATTTTATCTCCTAAACCATAGGACAAGATAGGTTAGTAAAACTGATTGGCAGCTCCTTTATCATTCTGCTCGTGTTTCGCAGATTCTGCGTCCATTTTAGCTCCTAAAATTCCAAAATTAGCTTTCTACAGTTAATTTTCAATAGAAGATAAGAAAAACCAGTTGTGAAATTTTAAAAGACGATCAAACCTGAAAATTTTCCTTTTCTTTGAAAATGTCAGTCTTTTTTTGCTGAAGTTCAAGAGATTAGTATTTTCAAATATTTTTATCCAAAGTTAACGCTGAAAAACCTTAAATTGGCTTTTCCTAGGTGAATCGATAAGCTCTATCCGCCACAGTGGGTCTTAGATGTTATCCGATTTTATATTGCCATTCTGAACTGGTAGCCAATGAGATACAGCTACTGCTTTTGAACACAAACATAATGTAGAGACGAGGACTTCAACTGCCTGATTTTGGTTTTTAATTTTATTTTATTTCTAAAACCACTTATTTAGTTGCAGAAAACTCCGAACACTGGAAACTTGAGCTAGCCGTTACTACGCGTAGTCCACAGCCGAATCAAGACGTGAAACATTTTCTGCATACGATTTTTTTCTGCGAACTGACCGTTCCGTGAGCATGTTATTTGTACCATACTAAGAATGTTGATATGATCCATGCTTCATTCAATGCATCTAAGCCACATAAAGAAAAAAATGTCTCGATAAACTGAACAATTTATCTTGTTATTCTCACACACCACACCTACTGTCTGTTAATTATGTTAGTCTATGACTCATAAAATAGACTATTTTTTTTCTTTCTACGTCCGATATTTTTTGACATAAGTCACTTCGTTCTCTTCCGCGAAAGACTATTGTTCTTGTTCGTGTGATGCTGGTCAATAATGCTGGACGTTCTTCGTAGAAAGTATCATACTGAAGAAAAGAAAAAAAGAATGGGTGGCATGATACGACGTACAAACAGTCTCACTCAAGGAGGAAATATTAGAGCCGCAGCAAATAACTAATGTGTTGTGAATGCAGTAGTCTAACATTACTTATTTGCTACGGCTGTATTCTTTTAACAGAAATATAGCAGATATCCCTTTCCACATAAGATATCCCGTGTGTGGTATAGTTTTTCGTCTCAGCGCGTCAATAGAAAAGAAAGATATGCATGTGCGAAAGCAGATATCCTTTATTTGCTAGTGTCCTAGTAAAAGTTCTGTTCTTTTTTTACTCAGAGAGAAAGAATGAAAGTAATACTTTTCTTTGTGCAACATAAAAGCACGTTATTTTCATCTGTTCTGCTTTTTTTTTAATGTTGTTTTGAATAAAAAGTTTTGATACAACTTTGTACATTACGAAATGAGCTTAGTTTGGGCCGTTATTTAGTTAACGATGCATATTGTTCAAATCGTTTGAAGAGACGCTTTTATCTATTCCTTGAACAATCGTTTTTGCTTCTATCTTTCGAACAGCATACGCGTTATGATCAGCTTGATACTTGTAGATTTTTAGTTGGAAAAAACCAACTAAAACTAAACATGTATTATATGAACTATAGTGAATATGTTCATGAACACTAAAAGCATTGGTTCATATCGTAAGTTATCAAAGAAACTGATTTCATAATGCAACGAATACTCATTTGTTTTAGTTTCATACGAATGTTTAATTGCGGCCACATTGTATGGAACCAGCATTTGCTGGATAAAAAATACATCTGTCATGTATGCAAACGGGTAATTCGAATTCCTGGTCAAATAAAAACATGTGGGGATAGAGGGTGTGAAACATGTTTAAAAGATCTCTTTCGGTAAGCATCTTGTGTAATTAATAATTTAATAATAACAATTAATTTAGATATTTCTACTGAGTTAAACAAACTTGGTAGCTATGCATACATCGGCTTTACAAAGGTAAATTTTGGCTGCAGAGAGAAATGGAACAAGTATTTGGCTTCAACTACATTCACTATGAGTGTATTCAATATAACTACCAAGAATGAATCATGATAAGCTTGGAGGATATGAAGATGAAAAGATTAGAGAATGAAAAGCGAGACGATGAGAATCTAGAGAGAGTGACTGGTAAACAACGCCTTATTACTAACGAGGGCACCTTTCCAACTGTTACGTCGTTTTTTGAATAAAACCAAGTGGGTCATAGTTTATCGACTATGCTGATTCTGAATATCACCATGTTAGCTACCATTAGGTTTCCAGAGAGCGGTTTTCTGGAAAACCAGTTGATCAGAAACTCTACAAAATAACCAAAACCTTTTCTTAATGAGTCAGAATTGTAGCCCGCAAATTTCTGATTAAAATGAGATATCTCCTAGCTCTATACGACCTTTCTTTGCAAAGTTATAGAATTACAAGAAAAACTCTAAATTAATTTCTTATTTCTGTAGCTCTGAGCTGACAAAGAACATTTAGAGCTTTTCTTGCAATTTGTATAACTTTGCAAAGAAAGGTCGTATAGAGCTAGGAGATGTCTCATTTTAATCAGAAATTTGCGAGCTACAATTATGTCTCATTAAGAAAAGGTTTTGGTTAGTTTTTAGAGTTTCTGAAAAAGTGGTTTTCCAGAAAAACGCTCCCTGATAATCCAGGAACAGCTGGCATGGCGATATTCGAAATCAGCATAGTCGATAACCTATG